ATACGTATGTATGTATACATATTTGTACAATTAGAACTAAATTGAAAATATGGTTTACAGTATGTGTATATTAATTATGTACAATGCAAATATAAAAAACAAAAACACCAACAAGCTAATGTGCTTATACCTCTCTCAAATACATTGATGGAATATTAAGTTCGATTGGACTTACGACAAGTTGCGTTCCCACGATGAAAGATCTTTCATAGTGCTAAGGTAGATAAAGAGAAAAAAAACACTAATGTTGCCAATGGCATGCACTGTATATCAAACTGGTCGAAATCTTTTCGCTTAGTTTCACTTGTTGGTTTTTTTTCTTGTATTTTTTTTTTGTTAGTTTCCTAGTACACCGAATTGAATATCATGCACCACCAAAGTATCTCATGTAAAAGTTTTCTTTTTTTTTCAGTACTAGCTGCTTATACAGACAATATGCACAGTCTTTTCCTTCATATAGCACGCGGCTCAAAATTTATCTCATGCAATATTTTATTTTTTTTTTTGGTTTTTTTTTTGTTTTTGTTAACTACAATATATTCTAATTTATACTTTGATTTTCAGCTTCCTGTAACACAAAAACTTTCTTTAAAGAAAAACCACATCAAAAACGGGTTTCTGCTACTCTAACGCAATGCAGGTGTGCATATGTAAAGTAGGCTCCTCATTCCTACCGATTTCACGTTAATTTTTCGCAAATTTTTTTTTTCTTTTTTGATATCCGATTATTTCCCTATGTAGATATATGCTATTATATTATTATTAATAACCACACGGCACTTGTTTTGCCGTGAATTTTTTTTTTTCTTTTTTGATATCCGATTATTTCCCTATGTAGATATATGCTATTATGTTATTATTAATAACCACACGGCACTTGTTTTGCGTCCAAAATCATAGTAGTCCGCATGTTAGGAACTCCACGCCAAACTGACACCTGCTGGTAGCTCTCCTTGTGCCGATCACTCACTTATGCGGGAGTGTACATATGCACATACCTAGGTTTAACGGCACCGGTATATTATCTTATGTATGTATGTACTTGGAAAGTTGTAGGAATTATATACAAAGTGCCAAGTCTAGAGAGAAATGTTCGTTAATGGTACTATTAAATGACGTTTTTTTGTACGTATATAAATTATATTAATTACCCGTAGATGATTTGGCACGATGGATGTATGTACAACGATACAATAATGCGGAAAATGCACCAACCAAGACGGTATGAAAATGTATGTACATATGCGTCTGATAAAATTGGGAATGCCTACAAATTAAAATAAGTGGTTTCTTTTTATATTGAACTAATTAAAATTAGCTAAAAATAGAAAAAAATGTATCGCTAACACTTGCTTACCTCCAGTTAATCGTTCACCGCACTTATAAAAAAGTAACAAGAAAAAATTTAAACTTTGCTTGAAGACGTTTTTTTTTTTAAAGGACGTTTATGGCGCTACGGCTTAAGGTTGAAAGACTCGAAAGGCTTCAATTTTGCAACAGGAGACCTTAAGTCTAGCTGAATGAATAGATAAATTTGAAGGACTAGCGCTACTTTTCCCGGAGTAAAAGAGATCATGATAGTTATAGGAGCTATGTTTAGCGATCTTACACAGGGAAATATCGCCTAAGTCACAAGTAAAAGGATTTTGGAGCTACAAGCGCCACTACATTTCCCCCCAACCAAAATCAGACTTACGATGTACAAGCCGGAAGGTGATACCGCTTGCTACCAGAACTGCTATTATTGGCGGATATCCTTGGCATGATAAGTGCCAACTGAGTGCCCTTGGAGGTCCTCCAGTTCATAGTAACAACTTCCTTACCTTCGCCTGATCCTTGCTTTTATAAACGATGGGGCAAGTTTTGCGTTGAATCCTTTCCCGAAATTGCTTTGTTGAAAGTTCCTTCGATATATTTCTTGACCCACTTCGTAAGTTGTTTCCCGCGATTGTAGATTATACCGAGCCCTAACCGCCAAAATAACGTAAGCGACATTTTTTTCAAAATTATTTTTTTGATGCAGAAATGTATCTAGATGCTCTAGGAATATTTCTGCATCAAAAAGAAAATTTTGAAAAAAATGTCGCTTACGTTATTTTGGCGGTTAGGGCTCGATACGATTTTTCGTTTCGGTCATGTTGTTTACTCATTAGTTGGCTCCACGATTTCTCACCATCTCCAAAGAATCTTCTCTATTAAAGTTTATGGTTCGGTCTTCCAACAACTCCAGTTTCCTCAAGAGTTCATACGTCTCGCCGTTTGTCACCATTTGCTGGCCAAAAGCCATAAAATATGGTGAGGTGCCAATCGCTGAATTTGACGCAGACCTTAAAGCACAACCAATACTACTCATCCCAATTCTTTTGATCAGGGTTGACATATGCTCTTATAGCTGCAATAACGGAACGGTTTACACGTTCAGAGGCGTTTGCTTGTGGTGCGTGAACTGCGGTGTAAATATGGTTGATATTATACCTCTGAAGAAGGTTATTAAAAAGTTGTGATCTAAATTGAGATCCGTTATCAGAGACAATAGATTCTGGAATGCCAAACATATGGAAGACTTCCTCCAGCCATCCGATGATTGCATCAACAGAGAACTTTTTTACTGCTTTCAACAATGGGAATTTAGAAAAGTGGTCCAATACTATAAAAATTCCTATATTCCCAGATCTGGATCTGGGATAAGGGCCTAAATAATCTACAAAAAGCTTTTGAAAGAAAGTGCTCCTTATTCTACCCAAAGGTGGTCTTAATAGTCTATTTGGATGCTTCGTACAATTACAAATTTCGCAAGAGTTAATATAGTTTTTGACATCATCTACTGGCCCCATAATAATAACAACGCCGTAATATTTCGATAGTTTTGTTCATGCCACAATGCGCCGATAAGCGACCATCATGTGCACTTTCTAATACTTCTTGGACCATTCCGTTGGGTATCCAAAGTTTCCAAGTCATATCGTCATGTAAACGCTCACCTGTTGCATGTTCCGTCCGCCGACATACGTCATATACCCATCAATGACTTTAATATCGGGAAACTTATTTTTGTTCTCATCAAACTTCTTTATAAGTTCCTTATACTCGTCCGATTGGAAATGTGACGATTTTAGATCAAGAGAAACTCCACTCCAATTGCGGACAGATCATTTTAGTTTAGATCAAGAGAAACTCCACTCCAATTGCGGACAGATGTATTAACTCGCGAAAGTGCATCAGGGACCATGTTGTGGCAACCTTTCCTGTGTTGTATCTGGAAAGAAAATCCTTGAAGTTTTAGAGCCCATCGAGCTAATCTCGAGCTTAAATCAGTTTGCGACATGAACCATTTCAGCGAGGCATGATCGGTCACCACTGTAAACTCATGACCTTCTACATACGCCCTGAACTTTTTGATACTTAACTGCTGCTAGGCATTCTTGTTCGGTCACTGAGTAATTTTGTTGAGCTTGATTGAGTTTCTTAGACATGAACGCGATTGGAATCTCTTCGCCTTCTGCCGTTTTCTGTACCAATACGCCTCCTATACCGGTCTTACTTGCATCACAGTGAATATAGAATGCCCGTGAAAAATCTGGGCTATGTAAAACGGGGGCTGTGACCGGTATGGTCTTCAACTCCTCAAAGGCTTTTTGTGCTTCTGCGTTCCATACAAATTTTCGTTTACTTTTAAGCAAATCTGTCAAGGGAGAAGTAAAAGCGGCATAGTTCTTGATGAACTTCCGGTACCACCCAGACATTCCTAAAAATCGTCGCAGCTGTTTTAAGGATCGCGGTACTGGAAATTCTGTTATCGCGGAGACTTTTTCATGGTCAGTCCTGATGAACGAATACATTTGGCAACTTCACGCAAAACTACAATGTGTTTCTCGAACGATTCTGAAATTACCAACAGATCGTCCAGGTAGACGAAAACTTGTGTCTTAAGATGTGCTGGAATTACTCGATCCATAAGTCGTGACAATGTTTGCGGTGCGTTACATAGCCCAAATGGCATAACCTTGAACTGATAAAGCGGTTTTCCAGGCACCGTGAAATCAGTCTTATCTCTTGAAGACAATTCCAATGGTATTTGCCAGAATGCGTCTTTAGGGTCTAAACTAGTTATGAATTCTGCCTTTGGCAATCGAGACAAAATGCCATCAATAATGGGCAATGGATACGTGTCTTTCATTGTGATGGAATTAACTTTGCGACTGTCAAGACATAACCTCACCTTTCCTGGCTTTCGGACTAAAACTACCGGAGATGACCATGCGCTTTATGATTCTTCTATTACCCCTAGTTTTAGCATTCGGTCAAGTTCATCGTAAATCATTTTTTCAATAGCTGGTGATACGGGAAAATGCTNACGATTTTAGATCAAGAGAAACTCCACTGTCAATTGCGGACAGATCAGTTGTATTAACTCGCGAAAGTGCATCAGGGACTATGTTGTGGCTACCTTTCCTGTGTTGTATCTGGAAAGAAAATCCTTGAAATTTTAGAGCCCATCGAGCTAATCTCGAGCTTAAATCAGTTTGCGACATGAACCATTTCAGCGAGGCATGATCGGTCACCACTGTAAACTCATGACCTTCTACATACGCCCTGAACTTTTTGATACTTAACTGCTGCTAGGCATTCTTGTTCGGTCACTGAGTAATTTTGTTGAGCTTGATTGAGTTTCTTAGACATGAACGCGATTGGAATCTCTTCGCCTTCTGCCGTTTTCTGTACCAATACGCCTCCTATACCGGTCTTACTTGCATCACAGTGAATATAGAATGCCCGTGAAAAATCTGGGCTATGTAAAACGGGGGCTGTGACCGGTATGGTCTTCAACTCCTCAAAGGCTTTTTGTGCTTCTGCGTTCCATACAAATTTTCGTTTACTTTTAAGCAAATCTGTCAAGGGAGAAGTAAAAGCGGCATAGTTCTTGATGAACTTCCGGTACCACCCAGACATTCCTAAAAATCGTCGCAGCTGTTTTAAGGATCGCGGTACTGGAAATTCTGTTATCGCGGAGACTTTTTCATGGTCAGTCCTGATGAACGAATACATTTGGCAACTTCACGCAAAACTACAATGTGTTTCTCGAACGATTCTGAAATTACCAACAGATCGTCCAGGTAGACGAAAACTTGTGTCTTAAGATGTGCTGGAATTACTCGATCCATAAGTCGTGACAATGTTTGCGGTGCGTTACATAGCCCAAATGGCATAACCTTGAACTGATAAAGCGGTTTTCCAGGCACCGTGAAATCAGTCTTATCTCTTGAAGACAATTCCAATGGTATTTGCCAGAATGCGTCTTTAGGGTCTAAACTAGTTATGAATTCTGCCTTTGGCAATCGAGACAAAATGCCATCAATAATGGGCAATGGATACGTGTCTTTCATTGTGATGGAATTAACTTTGCGACTGTCAAGACATAACCTCACCTTTCCTGGCTTTCGGACTAAAACTACCGGAGATGACCATGCGCTTTATGATTCTTCTATTACCCCTAGTTTTAGCATTCGGTCAAGTTCATCGTAAATCATTTTTTCAATAGCTGGTGATACGGGAAAATGCTTCTGTTTGATAGGCTTGGCATTGCCAACGTCAATCACATGGGATATCAAATTGGTTTTGCCTAAGCCTTCCTTGGCGAACGATGGGAAAATATCGACTACATTTTGAAGTCCGTTTTGTTGCAGTCCCGTTAATGAATGTCTAGCAGGGTCATTAGAAAACTCGGTTGTGCTCAGTTCAGAAATCAAAGTCTTTGGCAAAAGATCAAACGATCTCCAGAAGTCAATCCCTAAATAGAGGTTCTCCTTAAGGCTCG